CTGTGTAAATTACCTTTATAAGCACGAGAGCTTCATTGAGTTCTGCCACATCAACATCAGCTTCCTGAAACTTAGGGCAAAGGTGTCATCAGATGACATTCAAGTAACAAGATACATTCTCAACAGACATGCCACTTCGCTTGACAGCATGAATAAACACTTATATTTCTGCATTCTTTTATTTTCAGGAAGTATTTGTGCTATGCATAAAACATAGAGGGTTTTTTTTTGGTCTCATATTCTAAACAGAAATAGAGTTCACCTTGGTCAAAAACTTTACTTGATTTTTCAGATCATCTAGTTGTTGCTTTTGTTCCAGGTAGCATAACTGCAGGTCCTTGTTGTCTTGCATCAGCTTTTCCTTTTGGTCTTAATATGGAAGAAGAAAATATTAAGCTTAATTCAGCACAGTTAAAAAAATTAAACTGGCTTTTTTCATATTAATAGATGCATGAAAAATTAATTAATTTCAAAGTGCAGAAACGAAGGTACTTTGTATAAGGCAATCTTTGTGTGCTGGTTCTGGCCAGGACAGGGTTATTTTTGCAGCAGGCAGGAGGTGCATGGCCAGGACACTGAGGTTCCTCTGTCCCACCTCCTGGCCCTGCTGGGCCCAGAGGAAGAGGGGAACAGAGAGGATACAAAATTCTTTGTCAATCTGAATGAATTTGAATTCATCTGGAAACAGGAGGCTGAGATGCTGGTCTCAAGGGTCTTGAAATGTTTCAAAAATTGACATCAGGTTTGTTTTCATTTTCCAGTGTTTATATATTGACATCTTTACTGAAAATGAATCACGTGTAATGCCATTGCTCTTACACTCAGTAGCCTGACAGGTGTGAGGATTCTTCACAAGAGTCACTTTTTGGAACATTCAGACACACAGTCACCATAGTAAGGTTTTAATTCTATACAGTTATTGAGGAAAATGCAATGCATTTGTGCAGTTGAGAAGAAAATGTAATTAGAAACACTAAGGGCTAAACAAAACAAGAGAACAGTTACAATAAGCCTTGTGAATGGCCAGAGAAGACAGCAATTGAGGCTTCCAGATCCTCCCAAATAACAAACCTGAAAGATCTGTATCTGTTTGGAGACCTCCCACAGAGAGAAATGGCCCCTTGTGTTGATAATGTTTCTTTTCCCTGTAATATAAACTGAGATCTGAACTGGCACTTTTTCCAAGGATGAGACAAGACATCCCTCCTCAAGCAGTTCTGTCTCACCACGGATTTTCTGGTAACAGCAACAAGCTCAGTCCACTCTTTTTCTAACATGAACTCCAGTTTTTGTACACATTTGTAATATTCATTCACACTTGCTGCTCAAAACACTGACTTCAAAATTGTGAACAGCCTGTTGGGAATCTGGAGAGGCACCTTTTAAAAATACACATTTGAAGAATCACCTCTAAACTAAATATTTTCAGTTCCTGCCTGTGCTCTTCTTTTGTAAACCTTATATTGCTACAAGATATCACAGTGTTGAGATAAAAAAAAGAAAAGATCACAAGGTCTTACAAATATTCACCAGAACTTGTCCTACAGGATGGGAAAAACACATATGAAATAATCTGTTCAGTAGATTATCAGAAAACTGTGTTATTGTAAATGTACAAAGCTGTAAATAAAAATGAGTATATACTGAAAATATTAAAAAATTCTGAATTAATAAAATTAAAAGACAATTAAACATCACCAGGGGCCAATATTGGCTTCATGTAACTTTGTACAGTAAGCAGAAGAGTGGTTTATAATTTGAGAGAGACTGTCAGATAAGCATCTTTTCTGTAAGAAATACTGAATAAAGAGTAATTAATAACCAAACAAATGAAGAATGAATACAGCTGAAATTATATGAGCCTCATTCAGCACATACTATGTATTGGGTCAATTTTTGTATTTAATAAATAGTCACAACATACTCATATTGAGCAAATGAACACTTAAAAGGCAGCTTTGAAAACACCACCAACAGAAACCACACTTTTCTGGGCAGAATACCTCAACTCCAGTCTCATGTCTTGAGAAAATAATGTAGTTTTCAGAAACATACCTCTTTCTACTTTAATCTTGTCAAGGATTTCATTTTTGTCTGCTAAATCCGACTTGATAGCTGTCTCTAGTTTGGCAATCTGCAGCTTCAGCTGCTGCTCCTTTGATTTCCACTGCTGGTCGTAGGGCAGGCTGAAGACACTGATAAAACACGGGGGACAGGAATCAACGTTGAAATGGGAGAATGTGAGAAGGCAGGTCATTTTGTGTAAAAGAAAAGCAACATTGTAGATTACTGTGTTATAACAGAAACATATTTGAATTCATCCGGTTAAACATCTTCTTGAGTTATCTCACCGTGATTTGTGGAGAACAAAAAGACTGGAAGTTGATTTGTTACTAAGAGTAATTTTTCTCCATAATGATAGAGGAGAAAAAAAATGATCATCAGGAATATTTATAACATGATCAAACTTTGGAGAAATCCACAATTAACTTAAGTGAGAGACAACTCATCAACTACCTCTATAAAAAACCTAAATATTGTGATTATACAACTGTTATAAGTAAAAAAATGTTTTATTTGTACTCAGTTTTTTACTGCCTTAACTTTTAATTTCATCACAGACAGTACAAGAAGTGTAACAAATATTGTAAGAATACTATAAACAAAATTTGACATCACTCACACTGTGTTTAGTCATTGATATCTTTTGGACAGAGATCACACTGACAAGCCAAACACTTTTAAAGGAGAAATAATTTCGATACCAGAAAAGACTTCAAGCATTTTACCTGCTTTCTGAGGCAATTCTTAGCTCTAGGACATGTGTCTTATTTTCTAAACCTCTTCAAGTGTAAAAAAAAAAATCACATAGTTTTACAATAAAGGTTTATTTGAAGGTCATTTTAATATGCTTGTGGCAATGGACTAGAATGACTTCTTTTCTTTATCAATAGCAGTGAAATGGTAGCTATTACCAAAACAAACTTAACCACCTCTCAAAAATAAACACTGGAGAAGCTCTCAAATATCAGACTTTCTGTAAGTTCACTGAGAAGTGCTGGAAGAACATACAAAAAGTTCAAACACCCCTTTGTTAAAAAAAAAAAAACCAACCAAAATTAAAAAGGAACAATCCCAAAGGCCAAAACAACCCTAATGGAATATATGTCTACCTAGATGTATTCTTTCAATAGTAACTCTAAAGAAAATTATTGGAAATAATAAAGAACTTCTTGTGTTTATGTTCAAAACAAAGTGAGCCTCACTTATTTTTAATTACATTTTTTTTCAAAGCAGTAACCTACTACTTCGAGAGCATTAGGAAACGTTGGTCCGTTTCAACAGCAGAGATGAAACACAGCCAGAGCCCCACAGGAGGTTCCAAACACACCTCCTGAGATGAGAAACTGGAGCATGAACAATATTGTGATAAATAAATAACTGTGATTTGTGAAACAAATGGGTGATTACGTCCAAATAAAACAAACGGACTGTAAAACTTAATTACACCCCCAGAAAGAAATAAAACACACCCTTACAAGGTCAAGAGGCCTAAAACCTCCCTACTATCCTAAGAATAAAATATAGTAGAACTTTAAATCTTTAGGGGCCTGTTCATCCAAGAATGCAGGAATTATGGCTGGTTGTAGAGATAACCCTTTCAGCTTTAGCTGTAAGAAAACCCAGATATTAAATACTTAGCAAAAACCTGTAGAATGTATATGTCTGTGATATAATTAATATGCATGAAGGAGCTAAGATAAATACTAAATGTACCCTGTAGTAGGTGTGCAGATTTGGGAAGCTGGTCCCATTTGTATCACCCAGCTGGCTGCTTTGCTTTTCCCATATAATAAACTATTATTCAAAAACTTACAGAAACTCGACACTTTGTTTAGCACAATATTTGCACACTCAACATGCAGGTGCACATTCCAGCACAGTGTATGAAGACCTATTCAACAGGACAGGAATCTAGTTTTTTATCCACAAAACCCATAACTTACCTATTATGCAGCTTATCATAGTTTTCCTTCAAGAGTTCATTCTCTTTTTCTAGATAATTTATTCTTTCCTGTAACTATCATGAAGAAGGATCATTTCAGCACAAAAGGGAATTACAGTGAACGTGGGAAGACAAATAGTTAATAATTTGTATGCACTGCCAGGCTATTATTTGTTCTTTTTCCACAGAATCAGAATCACAGAATATTCTGAGCTGGAAGGGCCCTGCAAGGACCACCAAGTCCAACTCTTAGCACTCTGTCCTAACCAATGGAGCCAATCTCAGGGGCCACATCAGTCTCTCAGAAGCTTCAAAGTAACACCACACGGATTTAAATTTGGCCTAAACAGTCTTTTCCTGTTGTTTCTGTGAAGCTGAGACTGTTGCAGTGGAACAGTATTTAATCACATTCTCTCTTATGTAAAATAACATAAAAATCTACAGCCTTACTTTTTTAAATTTCCATTTTAGTGACTATTAGTATCAGCTACTGTATGACTTTTGTGCAATTAATATTTTTTACTGCCATTATAGACACAACACATCCTTGCTTTCAAAATACTCACTAAAGCAGGATATGATTTCAAAGCTCTGAGACACCTTAACCAGGGAAGACACCTACATGCATCACAAGAGTTTAAAGGTTTGGAGGAAATATCTACAAGATAATCTTGGTAAACTTGGTTCATGTAAAATACATTTAAAATATGTGAAATTAAATTTAAGTTGCTACAAAATGTAAGAAAGAACAAGTAAGCTTGTAGACTCTTCCTCTTCATATTTTGAAGAGAATGAGGAATAAACCACTTGATTTTTAGCCCTAAATCTGGATGACTGTTAGTGATGACACTGCTTTCTGAGAGCCTCTAGATAAAGTAATAGAAGTGACTGATTTGAACTGCTAAATCAGATGTAATACCACATTTAATTACTACTGTAATTAAATCAGGTCGAAAGAATACTAATAAAGTAGCAATACATTTTCAAGAAATCAAGTATGATTTTTTTTCAGTTAACAACACACTTGTTCAGTATCAGAATTGACACAAAATCCTATGGTTTAACCTCAAATACTGCCCAGACACTGGTGCAGTGATTATGTGGCACGGGGATCAGGTGTTGTTCACAATTCTATAAAATGCAAGCAGCAGCAACTGTTTTTTCTTTTTAATGGGATAAAAGTATATATATATAATGAGGTCAATCTTCTAAATGTGCTTGAATGGTCTATTCACATTTCTGAAATTAGAAAGTATCCCATCATTAACTTTTCCCTTATCTATACGTACTACCCAAAGCAGATTCAAGATCTCTTGAGCACAATCTCACCTCTTCTGTCCTCCTGTTTGAAATAGTTACTGATTGCAATTCTTTTTGAAGATGGAAGCACTTTAACCTTTCCTCTTTAAGTTGTGCATTCAGTTCATCACCTTTGGCTAATAAAGCATCGTGGTTGCTCCTCAAATTCTTTAGGTTCTATGAGAAGGAAGGAATATACAGGATAAAAATAAATCACACCCAGTAGAATGTTCCCACAGAGCATATTCCAGTGGGGGTGTCTCCTGGCAGTACTGAACACGGGTTCTAAATGTGGGCAGCAGGAGACATTCCTGAAAGGAACTGAGAGCAACTTCCATGAGGCATGGCCAGGACAAGGTGCCGTTCTTGTTGCCCTCATGAACATTAAACTCTCAGT